CTTTATTGGTGGCATGAGAACAGACTAATACAGTAAGTTGGTACTGATAGAGTCACATGCTACTGTGAAGATACCTGAAAATGTGGAAGTGACTTTGGAAATGGGTAACAGGAAGAGGTTGGAACAGTTTGGAGGGCTTAGAAGATAGGAAAATGTGGGAAACTTTGTAACTTCCTAGAGACTTGTTGCATTGCTTTGACCAAAATGCTGACAGTGATATGGACAATACGGTCCAGACTGAGGTGTTCTCAGATGGAGATAAGGAACTAGTTGGGAACTGGAGTAAAGGTCACTCTTGCTATGCAAAGAGATTGGTGGCATTTTGCCCCAGCCCTAGAGATCTGTGGAACTTTGAACTTGAGGGAGATGATTTAGGGTATCTGGTGAAAGACATTTCGAAGTGGCAAAGTGTTCAAGAGGAAGCAGAACATAAAAGTTTGAAAAATTTTCAGCCTGATGATGCAGTAGAAAGGAAAATCCCATTTTCTGGGGAGAAATTCAAGCTGGCTACAAAAATTTGCATAAATAATGAGGTGCCAAATGGAAATCGCCAAGACAATGGGAAAATGTCTCTAGGGCATGTCAGAGACCTTCACAGCAGCCCCTCTCATCACAGGCCTGGAGGCCTAGAAGGGAAAAATGGTTTCCTAAAGGGGTCTAGGGTCCCCTCTACTGTATGCAGTCTAGAGACTTGGTAACCTGTGTCCCAGTCACTCTAGCCATGGCTAAAAGGAGCCAATATATAGCTGAAGCCATGGTTTTAGAGGGTGAAAGCCCTAAGCCTTGGCAGCTTTGACGTGGTGTTGGTCCTGTGGGTACACAGAAGTCATTAATTGAGGTTTGGGAACCTCTGCCTAGATTTCAGAGGGTGTATGGAAATGCTAGGATATCCAGGCATAAGCCTATTGCAGGGGTGGAGCCCTCCTGGAGAATCTCTGCTAGGGCAATGCCAAAAAGAAATGTGGGTTCAGAGCCCCCACACAGAGTCCCTCTAGGGCACTGCCTACTGGAGCTGTGAGAAGAGGACCACCGTCTTCCAATTCCTAGAATGGTAGATCCACCCACAGCTTGCACTGTGCACCTGGAAAAGCCACAGACACTCAACGCCAGCCAGTGAAAGCAGCCGGAGGGAGCCTGTATCCAGCAAAGCCTCAGGGGCGGAGCTGCTCAAGGCCATGGAAGCCCACCTCTTGAATTAGCATGACCTGGATGCAAGACATGGAGTCAAAGGAGATCATTTCAGAGCTTTAAGACTTGACTGCCTCGCTGGATTTTGGACTCACATGTGGCCTGCAGCCCCTTTGTTTTGGCCAATTTCTCCCATTTGGTACAGGTGTATTTAACCAATACCTGTACTCCCATTGTATCTAGGAAGTAACTAACTTGCTTTTGATTGTACAGGCTCATAGGCAGAGGGACTTGACTTCTCTCAGATCAGACTTTGGAATGTGGAATTTTGAACTAATGCTGAAATGAGTTAAGCCTTTGGGGGACTGTTGGGGAGGCATGATTGGTTTTGAAATGTGAGGACATGAGAGTTGGGAGGGACCAGGGTGAAATGATATGGTTTGGCTCTGTGTCCTCACCCAAACCTCACCTTCAGTGGTGATAATTCCCACGTCATGGGAAGGACCCAGTGGGAGGTAATTGAATCATGGGGGTGTTTTTTCCCAGCTGTTCTTGTGATAGTAAATAAGTCTCATGAGATCTGATGGTTTTATAAAGGGTAGTTCCCCTGCACTTGCTCCCTTGCATGCTGCCATGTAAGACATGACTTTGCTCTTCCTTTGTCTTCCACTATGATTGTGAGGCCTTCCCAGCCATGTGGAACTGTGAGTCCATTAAACCTCTTTCCTTTATAAATTGCCCAGTCTTGGGTATGTCTTTATTAGTAGCATGAGAACAGACTAATACACTCATTGTTAGTGAGCAGAACAAAACTTTTCCTTAGGGAAAATGTTTCTCCTACATTTATTTCTAAAAGTGCTTTCTCATGTGGCCCTTCAAATGAGGGTACAGAGAAATAGGACAGATAAGATCCTCAACAACATCTTTAAAGTAAATACAGTACTATGTTAAAAACATTCTTTAGTGAAAGCTAACAACTAAATAAAGCCCAGTATACAATGTGCTAGGGAATTTTCATGTGTTGGAGTGAGAATGTTTTAGTGGTCCATTCTGAGGAGGGGCCAGAAAACAGCAAGAATAGGATTAGTAATCTTCTTGGAATACTTCAGAGTACTACATGATCATGAATTTTCTTTCAATTTTCTAGAAAGTTTGATGTGTTTTCTTGTCTGATTGGAGCTGGGCAACATTACACAGGGAAACCTTTTATTCTTTGCACCTTGTCATATATTTACCTTGTTATGTGGAAAATAGGAGCCCTATGAATTTGCTTGTTATGGAATCCAAGTATCCAAATGTTGCTTTCACATTCAGTCCTAAGGTCTGTGTCTACTTTTCTTTTTAGCTTACTTAGTAATGTTGACATACTACATTTTTGGTTCAAATATATTTTTTCTTAATTATTAATATTAGCAACTATATTTCCCCAGAAAATAGAAAGCTGCTTTTAGGCCTAAGAGGATGGTAAAGCTCCAGAGAATAACTTTTCTACCCTGTCCCATAAAATTGTGTTCTTTACCTTTTAGGCATTGAATTCAGTGGGTTCCATTGTAAGCAGCATTTTCCCTCCCTTTCCATCACAATTCAGACAATTAAGAATTGGCCAGATGACAAAATTTAAAAACCCAGATCTAGACTGTATTAAGTCTAGTAAATTTGGCTGTCATGCTAGTGATAAAGCAATGTTCAAAATAACTATGTCCTATGAATATGTGAGTATGCAGCTTAGAGCAAATATTATAAGTCATAAAACAACTTACAATTGGTATTCCATCCAAAGCTTTCAGTTCTGGAAGATGAAATATTACAAACAACCGGTAGTTTTCCTGATTCCACACAATAATGTTTCCATACATGTCTAGAATGACCAAGTTGCATAAACCCTAGGTAATAAAATACATACATTTATCCATATGTACATTTAAAACACTCCAGTAAGAGGTTAGCCATTCTCAAATTTTAATATTAGAATTACCTATTATTCCATAGGATTTCAGTGCTTTTAAGTGCACTTTTTTTGTTGTTAAAGATGGGGTCTCACTCTGTTGCTCAGGCTGGAGTGCAGTGGTGAGATCATAGCACATTGCAAGCTCAAACTCCTAGGCTCAAGTGATCCTCCCACCATGGCCTCCCAAAGTGCTGAAATTATAGGCATAAGCAACCATGCCCAGCCTAAGTGCACTTTAAGTGCAAGGGTTACCATTTCAGACCACTAAGGTAGAATTTTGTGCAATATTTCAATGGTCTATGTTATATAATCAGAATAACTTTTAGGATACTAGTGCCAAATATATTATCTATTAATGGTAAAGGCTTAGAGCAAACTTTACTATGTTTAAGACAAATGTACTTCATTTATTGAATAATGGCTTAATAAATGGTACATATGCGTCTATATAGATATAACAGGAATAAAAGACACTGGTATTTGAAAAGCAATAAAACTGAAGTGCTTCTACTTTCTGAGAGGGTAGAATTCATCTTAAGGGAAATGTGCTATCTTATTAAACCAGACACTTTGATATTCCTTTGTTGTGAAGGAAGGGTCTTGGTAGGTATGAAAGGGAGAGGTGAAGATAAGACGGAGTAAAACTACTATGCATTATAATGTGAAGTGGCTTATTGTGTTGCTGGTGTTGTTGATTAGGTTGCCTCTCCAGCTCTAAAAGTTGTAATTGTATTGGGGGAATGGAATGCTGAGAAGTCTGAACTAAGAAAAGACAGGAAATGGACACAAGTTTTTGGTAGGAGATAAAGTCATAATAATATTGTATCAGTAAAAGGAGAGGCCAGTGTAAGACACGTAGTGTTAGAAAATGGCCACTGAACTTCAGAAACAATGAAGTCACATATGACATTTGAAGTAAATTCTTGTTCTGTGCTAGAGAAACCCTCCATTTTGATCAAACCTTTTTAAATCCTATTACACAACAGCCTTAAATTAGTGGTTTCTTTGGGGAATTAAAAAAAGCAAATCTGAGCAAAGGTGACATAGTTTGAGCCAACTGGTAAGAAAACAGTGAGGGAATATCAAGAATTGTACTGAGAACAGGAGAATGCTAAAGAATCCCTGGAAATATTGAAGAAGGCACTAGTTAGAAGAAATAGGTTTGGGTTATCACACTTAAGTATGAAAAAAAAGTTACCCTAGAAGGATAGCAAATGGGGACATTATGTTTACACACATATATGTTTGTATGTCTACATAAATTGAATGCAAATAAATCTCTTATTTTTATTTTCTTTATATTTTCCAAATTCTGTGCAGTAAACATGCATTACTTTCATAATATAAAGAAACAATAAATATTTTTAAAAACAAAAAAATTACTACCCCAGATGATTACCTTTAAATTATACATCTCCTGATTGACAGCAATATAGTTATTGCTTATATATAATTCAACAAGAGTAAAAGATTTTTGTAAACCACTCAATGAAGTGATTCTGTTGTTCTCAAGAGAAAGGGAGTGAAGATGAAGCATATTATCAAAAGTATGCTGTTCCAAACCAGTGAGAAGATTATTATTTATGCTGAGGCGAGTTAATTTAGTCATCTTGGAAATACCTAGAAAAATAAAATTCAAGGAAAGATTCAGATAATACTAAAAGGTCAATTTAAAAATAACTGGCTGGTCATTTTATTGTAATCAAATAAATCATTTTTAGGTTCAAATGGTTTTAAAGATTCTGTAATACTAGCTATCGCTGCTTTTCCTTTTGTTTTGGAAGAATATAATCTTGTGTATAAGCCCCATCTCAAACATTAAATTCTAATTTGGAATTTTTAGGTAGATTCCTTCTTCTTAGGAGTTAAGAAAAGGTATTACATGAAAGTATTGAATTTTTCTTTCAAATAACCTTAAAATGATGTAATAAATTAAGATTTATAATTTATTACATCATTAATAATAACTATTAATGATGTAATAAATTAATAATTGATGTAATAAATTAATTAATTATTACATCATTAATTAATAATTACATTATTAATGATAATTTAAGATTTTTACCATTTGACAACAAAAAGCTCTACACAAAGCTCAAAATAATCACCAGCCCTCATGTTTAAATATTAAGGGTAAGGAACTAGAGTATTACATTCTGGAAAGTGCATCATTTGTATTAAAATGAACCATTTAGCAAACTTTTACTTTTGTATGTTTAAAAGTACTGTAAGATAGAAGTTTAGAAAGTGGGACCAGTCTAACTCCTATGTACACTATGTACTGCAAGCACTTTATAAGTGTAGCCAGGATGGTACAGTTGAAAGATAAGAACTTTGGAATCCTAGTTGGCTTCAAATGTATCACTACTAGGTTTGCAACAATACATAAATTATGTAACCTCTGAGCCTCAGTTTTCTCAGCCATAAAATAGGCATACTGAAATTTACTTCCAAAGAGTTATGAAATTAAATGGAATAATGTTTGGAAAGTATCAAATAATTATCTATGTTCTCCTTTCACATTAGTTCCCATTGTGGGACTACACAATGCTAAAGGGGAATCAATCTAGAGCAAGATAGATCAAAGCCATAAAGCAAAAATCATTAAATTGGTATGAAACCTACCCATGTCTGAATAAGAATCTTCTCCAAAAAGTGGGTATAAGAAAAATACAGATTGGAAGATTCTTCGCTTTAATAGCTTTACAGAAGGAAATGAAAAGGAAATAGGATTTTTAATTGTATGTACAAAGCAAAACTAATATCCAGCTGTATGGGAATGGCAGACTGGTGATAGTTCTAGACACAGATACCTAAGCTGCCCCTAGGTTTACTCAACTGAAATCTACAGAAGAGAGGCCTGTGAATCTGTACATTCAGTAAGTATCCCAAGTGATTCTTAAGATCAAGAAAGTTTTAGAAACATATTGTTAGCAGCCATTAAAATGAAATATATAACAAGTGTTATATATTCTATCTTAAAGATATTTAATACTTGCTTTTACATATATGACTTTTTGAAATCAAATTTTCTATTTTATAAAAAGTGTAGTATATACACATGCTAAAAATAATCCAATTCAAAAATGAATAAAGTGTGAATTCTCTTTCCCAGCCATGATTTCTAATTCTTACCTTCTCTCCTTGACAAAGACAACCATGTCACCAAAATGCACATACAGAAATATTCTTTACTCAGATAAGTGTGTGTGTGTGTATACACACACATATACATATTTCTCTTTTCAATCAAATAGTGCACACTTGTGGATATATTTTTTTAATTTCTAGGAGTTACTCTTTTGAGTAGATGGAGAGGGAAAATAAGAGAAAGTTGCTAAAAAGTCATGGAAAGTTTCTTTCAATTTCTTTCTAATGAAGGTAAGAATAAAATAGGGAGGCTGAGGTAGGTGGATCACAAGGTCAGGAGACCCAGACCATCCTGGACAACATGATGAAACCCCGTCTCTACTAAAATACAAAAAATTAGCTGGGCGTGATGGTACCTGCCTGTAGTCCCAGCTACATAGGAGGTTGAGGTAGGGGAATTGCTTGAACCCAGGAGGAGGAGGTTGCAGTGAGCAGAAATTACGCCACTGTACTCCAGCCTGGCAACAGAGGAAGATTCCATTTCAAAAAAAAGAGAGAATAAAATAAAGCTAGGAAGGAAGGAGTCAGAAAATACTTGACTTTGTACTATATATTCTGGGACATGTTCTCTAAACTCATGATTTTTAGCTGTAGATAAGCATAAATCCAAATGAAGTGAAGAATCTAAGAAGCTTGGAAGGGGGAAGGGAGGAAAAGTCTTTTTGATTCTCTCTGGTTCAGAAAAATATGTTCTAATACTGAACTTTAAACACTCAAATAAACCTCTAGTGAGTATAATTTTTATTTTTTGTTAAAGTCTTCAAATTTCTAAATATAACCTAATTTTATATTTTCAAAACTGAACTAGGTTGCTTTATCTTTTTCAAAAGCATACCTGATTAATTTGTTTATTCAACTTTACAGACATTAATGACTGCATAGTTTTTATGTGCTAGATTTGGTAACAGATTGTAAACTAGCACAGAGGAGAGGAGAGAGACACCACAGGAGGTGAAAGTCAGCTTCCTGGGCTCATTATATATAGTGACATAGTCACAAATTCCACTAATGGGTAGGAACTGGTTTTAATTTTTTATTTATCTTTTATTTTTTAATTTGACATATCTATTTATCTTGTACAACATGTTTTGAAGTATATATACATATTGTAGAATGCTCCAATCTAGCTAACTGATAATTACATTACCTCAGACAGGTATTTAGAATACTCTGCCACGAAACTTGGAACTTTTCTAGATATCTTCCTCTTCAGAAACTTTGTTCCCTGTTATTTTTTGCTCTGTTGTTTAGATATACACATTTTGGTACTTCAAAGTTCTTAAATATTTTACCTTCTATCTTTGAGATGCAATTTCCATCTAGTATGAGCTCTTCCAGGTTAATACAGGATTCCAGGCCCTCCATTTTAGTGAGATTATTATTGCTGAATGATGCCCATTTCAAATTTTCCAATTTTTCTAAATTTGTGATTTCAAAAAGATGTTGTCCATCTAAATTTAAGGCAGTTATCTGTAGAATAATTTACATTATATGTTATTTCTGAATCTTATAAATAAATTCAATCAATGTTATAAGATTTTAAAAAGCGAATGAAATAATTCAAATATTAAAAGTAACATCAAAATAATTCCTTCAGGAACTAAAGATATTGTAAAGCTATTAGTTTACAGAAAAGTAAAATTTGACAAGATTGTAACTCCAGGAGGATTTATATGGTATTAAGGACACTGGTGTGCTAGAGTCCCACTGCAGTAATGGACTTGTCTCAGCTGCTGGGAGAGCTTCCGGCAGAGAGCCTTCAGCTGTCAGTCCCTGCAGGACCGCCTCAGTGTAGATAGCTGCCAAGGTCATACTCCTTCCCAAGTTGGCCCTCAGCCAGTAATGGAGACATATGAAGGCCTGACCATCTCAGCCCAACTTAGGACAAATTTAAAGGGCCATTCTAATTCCAGAACTGCCTGTGGGTCAGCCAAAGCTGTCACTGGGCCTTCATTTGCAGCTCAATGTCTATATATATATCTATCTTGTAATAAAAGTAATGCCAACAATGTCTCCCATTTTCAAGGAACAGCTTCACTTAGCCCAGTTTCTATGTTTGGCAAGACGTATAAAGGTATAAAGACACCTAATGTAGCAAGAAGCTGGTGGTATTCTATAACCTTTTCCTTTATCCTTGGCTGAATTCTGACCAGCTTTCCTACTCTCTTGTCATTATTCCTGATCTCGCGTTCCAAATTTTGGATTGATCTCTGGCTCTGAGCCTTTAAATTTTGCTTGCCTATTCTGACGTGTTATCAGAATCTACCCTTCAGTTTTAGTGCACCTTTATCTTAAATTTCTAATTCTATGGTGAACGCAGTCAAGGCCCAGCCCCTCTGACATAGCCACTCCTGACTTGACCTCCTTTTTTATTTTTTAGAATGTGACAAATGTATTACTTTTTCTAATAATAACAACGTCTTTCTTATTTTTATTTTTTCCAACTCTGTTGAGGTACAATTGACAATTTAAAATTACATATATTTAAGATGTATAAACTTGATATGAGTATACACTGTAAATTAAAAACTTCATGATCTCAATTATATATGAAATCTAGGGCCGGGCGCGGTGGCTCACGCCTGTAATCCCAGCACTTTGGGAGGCTGAGGTGGGTGGATCACAAGGTCAGGAGATTGAGACCATCCTGGCTAACAAGGTGAAAGCCTATCTGTACTAAAAACACCAAAAATTAGCGGGGCATGGTGGTACATGTCTGTAGTCCCAGCTACTTGGCAGGCTGAAGCAGGAGAAATTGCTTGAACCCAGGAGGCTGAGGTTGCAGTGAGCCAATATTGCGTCACTACATTCCAGCCTGGGTGACAGAGCGAGACTCCATCTCAAAAAAAAAAAAAAAAAAGAAACCTAAAATAATCAAACTAATAGGAGAGAGTAGAATAGTGGTTGCCAGGGGCTGGGGGCAATGGGAAATGGACACATGTTGGTCAAGAGGTACAAAGTTTCAGTTATGCAAGACAAGTAATTTCTGGAGGCCCTAATGTACTATGTACCCTATGACTAAACTTAATGATACTATATTGTATACTTGAAATTTGCCAAGAGGGTAGATCTTAAGTGTTTCTTCCCTATTTTAATTAATCTTTCGAGCTTTCTGTCCCTTACCTATCTGTGCCCTTTGATACACAGACCAACACTGACTTAAAAATAGATTTAAATTAAGCTTTATGTTAGGTTTAATAGAATTAGCTTTACCTTCAAGTACCAGTTTCCACTTGGATGTAAATGAGGTCCTAACTTTGAAATCTGCGTCAGAATTTTGGCAGAAGGCCATATACTAAGTATCCGTGGTCTCTCCTCTTTAGTACTAGAATGCCGTAAGAGAGATAACTAATAAAATTTAAAAAATACAGTGAATAAACAGTATTCACAGGTTAGTTGATATATAGTAAAATTATTGTTTCCTAGAGAAGATGAGTGGCCCAGTAAATAATTTTAAAAATTTTTAAATAGAACATTTCCTTTGTGTTAAATTGTTTTCAATATCTAGATACATTTTAATTACATTATTTCTGTTTTAGCAAATATCGAACTATTACAAGATAATAAGACTGTAAAAGGATTATTATAATATGAACACCCATATAATCCACCCGTGAAACCAACTTAAGAGCTAGAATATTATGAATACATTGCAAGCACCCTGTGGGCCTGATCTAAGCCCTTTTCTTTCCTTCCCTTTAGAAGTGGTCATTATCTCAAATGTTTTGTCCACCATTGACTTGCTTTCTTTATAGTCCTATGTCTGTGTCCATAAACAATGTATCATTTAGTTTTGCACATATTTGAACTTTATGTAAATTGAATAATATGTATGTATTCCTTCTATGACTTGCCTTTTTTTGCATCATATTCATCAGATTCATCTAAGCTTCTTATGTAGCTGCAGTTCATTCATATGTCCTGTGTATAGAATTCCCTTAATGACTCTCCTGTCAATGAACATTGGGGTTGATTCAGTTTTTGCTATTATAAACACTGCTGTCATGAATATTCTTGTGCATGTTTCCTGGTACATACATGCAAGAATTTATTTAGAGTATATGCCCCTAAGTAAAATTGCTGGGTTGTTGAATACATGTATGTGTGTGTGTGGTTGTACCACTTTGGAAAAATTACACTTTTACTTCATATTCTTGCAACAACTTGGTATTGTCAGGCTTTAAAGTTTTTGCTCATCTATAAAACTGGCAAAAATTGGTAGGTCACTGTGATTTTAATGTTTATTTTCTTGAAATCTAATGTGGTGGAGCATCTTTTCCTAAGTTAATTGGTTGTTCTGATTTCCTCTCCAGTGAAGTGTCTGTTCAGATCTACGGTTCACTTTTCTGTTTGGCTGGTTGTCTTTTTCTTTACATATTCTGCATATATAAAGAATATCTTTTGACAGTTGTGTTGCAAATTTCTTTTCCCAGTATGTAGCTTGTCTTTTCATTTTCTTTGAAAAAAGATATATTAATTTAAATGTAGACACATCTAATTATTTATGGTTTATGCTCTTTGTTTCTTGCCTACTAAATTATTCACTAATTCAAGGTCATAAAGATAATCTCTGATATTTTCTTCAAAAAAACTTCTGGTTTTGCCTTTTACAATAAAGTCCTTAAAGCCTTTTATTGAATAATCTCCATGATCTGCAAAGGCAGCTCTGTTATTTATAAAGTTTCTACAGTCTATATTAGGTCTTTATTCTGTTCCATTGGTCTACTTGTCTAGCTCTGTGCCATATAACACATTGTCTTAAAGGATTGTAGTAGGCTTTGATTTTCTTTCTCTTTCTTTCTTCTTCTTCTTCTCTCTCTCTCTCTCTCAATCTTTCTCTCACTTTCTGCTTTTTTGGCCAGGCTACAGTGCAGTGGCACGATCTCAGCTCACTGCAACCTCCATTTCCCGGACTCAAGCAATTCTCCTGCCTTACTCTCCTGAGGAGCTGGGATTACAGGCATATGCCACCACAGGTGGCTAATTTTTGTATTTTTAGTAGAGATGGGGTTTCACCATCTTGGTGAAACTCCTGATCTCAGGTAATCCATCCGCCTTGGCCTCCCAAAGTGCTGGGATTACATGTGTGGGCCACTGCACCCAGCCTGATTTCTTTTTTAAAAAATATTTAATCTTCTTAATTTCAATTTTTATTCTAGATTCAGGGGGTATATGTACAGATTTGTCACAAGGATATATTGCATGATGTTGAGATTTGGGGTAGGATTGAACCCATCACCCAGATAGTGAGCATAGTACTCAAATAGGCAATTTTTCAGCCCTACCCATATCCCTCCTCCTCCTTGTATTCCCCAATGTGTATTGTCCCCATCTTTATGACCATGTGTACCCAGTGTTTAGCTCCTGCTTATAAGTGAGAACAGTTGGTATTTGGTTTTTCCTTTCTGTGTTAATTTGCCTAGGATAATGGTCTCCAGCTGCATTCATGTTGCTGCGAAGAACATGATTTCATTCTTTTTTATGGCTGCATAGGATTCCATGGTGTACATTTTCCATGTTTTCTTTATCCAGTCCACCACAGACGTGCACCTAGGTTGATTCCATGTTTTTGCTATTATGAATAGTGCTGCAATGAACATATTTATGCATATGTCTTTTTAGTAGAACAATTAATTTTCTTTTGGGAATAGCCCCAGAAATGGAATTGCTGAGTAGAAGGTAGTTCTATTTTCAGTTCTTTTCTTAGGGTAAATTTCCAACTCTTCTTTTGGAGTGTTAATGATTTTTTTAATCAACAAAAAAGTTTCTTTTCAAAAATTTGAATAGTTCCAAAATTAAAAATTATATCACTTAAGGAATTAATATTCAGATACTCCACAAAAAGTAAATAGCTAGAAAACTAAAGTAGATATATTTAGGATGTTCAAGCTACTTTGGCTAAAGTACAGCATTCTTAATATGGATAATAATGGTATTTCCTCTCCTTCCATGTTAATGGATTGTATTCTTTTCAGTCAAATAAATATAATATTAATACTAAGTAGATAGATAATTCACTAAATGCTTTCTGAAGGCCTCTAAGCTTACTTTATCTTCAGAAAATTGCTTATTTTCAAGTAGGTTCTAGAAAGGGCTCTGGTAAGTTCAGGTGACTAGGCAAAAAACAGTTACCCTAGAGGTATTTTTGGTGTAGTGTTCATGAATAATAAAGAGAATACATACAACCATTTGGTATTTAAATGAGATATATTTAAACAGAAACAAATATCAGGTGTTATGATTTCTCTGTATTAAATTTTTATTAATATGGGCCGGGCGCGGTGGCTCAAGCCTGTAATCCCAGCACTTTGGGAGGCCGAGGCGGGTGGATCACAAGGTCAAGAGATCGAGACCATCCTGGTCAACATGGTGAAACCCCGTCTCTACTAAAAATACAAAAAATCAGCTGGGCATGGTGGCGCGTGCCTGTAATCCCAGCTACTCAGGAGGCTGAGGCAGGAGAATTGCCTGAACCCAGGAGGCGGAGGTTGCGGTGAGCCGAGATCGCGCCATTGCACTCCAGCCTGGGTAACAAGAGCGAAACTCCGTCTCAAAAAAAAAAAAAAAAAAAAAAAAAAAATTTTTATTAATATGTTAAGAGGGAATATAAAATCTTACTGACAGAAGAGTATGGGAAATACTATTTGTATGTTCTAAATAGCACAATGAATAGTAAACAGTAAAATCTAACCTGAGTTATCCTTGTTCCAGCAATAAATTTCATAGCTGCTGTTGCTTCTTCTTCAGAAATGAAGACTCCATTTAAATGGGTAAGAGTCTTTAATCTGCCAATAACACTCAGTCTCAATGTGGCTGGCTTGGGAAAAACAGCAAAAAATTATTTCTTTTAAGATAAACTATTAAATATGGCATGAAAATGAGTGATTTTTCATATCCTTCCATAGAATTCAAAATTATGCATTTCCTTGTTCATTACATATAACTAAAAATAAAAGCTGAATTATTTCAATAATAGTTGAAATGAAATTATATTTAAGAATTAATCTGTTTGTTTGAAGGTGGATGGTTCTACTCTGATGAGGGAGGGAAATCCCATAAGCTGTTGGAAAGTGACCGTGGTAAAAAGTGTTAAAAGAACAATTGTAGCGACTCCTGGTTTATCTAGATCAACAGTAAGCTAGTCATCTCCATGTGTGATTCAACACAGATCTTTAGCCCTTGACAATCCAATTTGGCAAGAGGGAGATAGCTGTACTGTGATCATCCAGGAAATATGCTTTGGCAAAAGAAAAACAGTCTTCACTTCTACTGAGCAAATAAGAAGAAATACAACAATACGAACTTAGTAATGTGGCTAATTTAAAAGACCAATTGTGCTTTAGTTTCCTTTTTATAGGCTGAACACAGCCTTATATACATCTTTTAAAGGCAGAGAAAGGAAGATTCTTGAAATTATAATCTTTGGACTTATTTTAAATACTTGAAGATACACTTAAATGTAGTCATGAAATATGGAAATTACCTAGCATTAATATACATATTTTTGTAATGAGAAAAAATAATGTTCAGATTTCCTTTTTATAAGAGAACATAAGACTTTGTAATGCAGGTTGTGAGGAGAGGTGACTTCCGGACTTAAAATAAAAAGCAAGTAATACAAATAATACAAAAAGCAAAATAAAATTGTAAAACATGTTGCTTAATCACAGATTAGGATATATTATAAATCAAATTATGTTTCTTCCTTAATAGTATGCCTCTCTCACTGTATTATATTATTCTTGGTTCTCATGCCTCATTAATATAGAGTTCTGGCACACTGAACTATATATATAAACTCTCTAGAGGTTTGCAAATGGCAATGACATCAATGACTCAAAGCAATAATGTTCTCGATCTATTCGAGGTTACAAAAAATCTGACATGAAATTATAGTTTTTTTCTTATATTACCATCTGATTAATTTGATCAGTACATTAAATCCAACTTATGAATGACTTCATGGAAGGAAGTCTAGAAAAACAAAGACAGTTTGCCCATCTCTGGCTATTACTGAATAGGAAAGTTAGAAGGGAAATGTCTCTGAAATAAAAATCTTTGCTTTTTAGTAACATGTCTGTGGCATACCTTTTGCCATGGATTATGTTGAATATTAAGTGTAAGAAGGCTTGTGATATGTTTGCATAACGTATTTATTTCATCGCCAGATTTTTTCAGTTGATTCCAGCTCAAGTCTAAGTGCTTCAGTTTCATCAGACCTCTAAATCCCTCAAGAGTTATCACATGGTTATGGCTTGCATCCAAATATTCAAGGTTATACTGCAACACATACAAATAAAAGTGATGCTAAGAGAATCATAATTTGTATTTACAAAATAATTTCTCTGTGGTTCTTTACATACTTTACATGCTTCTTGGTAATCCACACAGGACACCTAAACACTAGTTATGTTGCAATGATGGTATCAACATACGTATCTGTCTAAAAAACTACAGACATTTTGTTTTAGTAATTCTCTTTTAATTAATATTTCATCCTTGTAACATAAGAGTGGCAATGTCTGTGTTCATAGGAGAGAAGAAATAAAGAAACCAATTTATCCCCAACAAACAAAATGTACTTTTTAATATATAGGCTTCTGCTTTATACCATTGAACCCATAGCTTTAATTGGGTCCATCTTCAGAGTTAGAAACTAAACCCATTAACTCACTACTAATAATTTTCTTTTTAAAAAGTACACAATTTTTAATAATAATTTTCTTCAATTATGAAAGTAACACATGTTCCTTGTTGGAAATTTGGAAAATATAGTAAATAAATCAAAAGAAAACAAAGAAAGCACATATAATCCTATTGCTGAGAAAGAACCACTGAAGCATTGTTTTTCATTATATGCACATATTTTTTCTTATGTAAAACATATATATATTATATCCTTTTAACATTTTTTCACATTATTAGATCTTCTTAAAATGACTTTTATGACTGCATGATATTTTAATATGTGATTATAATTTTAAAAAACATTTTACTATAGATCTTTATGTTTCTAATTGTTGGCAACACAGCCACAAACATCCAGGAGAAGGATTCTCTAATTGCAACTCCAAAATCTTTTTCAGAACAGGTTTTAGAAACAAGATCACTCATTCTTAGACTTTCTGCATTGTTAAGACTCTTGATAAATACTGTTAAGTAGATTTCAAGGAAGTTTGTACCAATACTTTCTTCCAACGGCAGACTGTGAGAATGCCCATATTCTCAAATACTGATCCACCTGCCTTATTTTAATTTACATTATTACTGGTGAAGTTGAACATCTTTCGATGTGTTTATACAAGCCATTTTAAAATTCCTTTTTTTGTATATTGCCTTTCTTGTCTTTGGCTATTTGTCTATTCATATCTTCATCTTACCTGTTTGTGAGAAACCTCTAAGACTTTAATTTGTTACATTTGATTTCTCTACAACTTAATTTATACAACTGTTTGAATTCAGAATAGACTTAGTCATTCCTTTATATGGTATAATTTTTATTTTTGGGATAGAACTTCCTATAGCGGTTCAGGTTTCAAGAGTTGAATCAAAACCTAAAAAAATTTCTGGAACCGAACGGTGTTACTAACTTTTAATTCTCAGAAGCAAGCATTAGCAAGACAAAACAAAAACTATCTCTTACTATCATAATTTCTTGAACAAAAGCCTATTTGACAGTAAAAAAAGTATGAAAGCCATAAGTTTAGGGGAAAAAAAAAACCACTTTTAAGTAAAATGAATTTGGCTTTATAAAAATTTACTACGTGGCCCTTCTGTTCCCAATTTTCATCACAGACTGGTGAAAACTTGTCCCATATTGTGGCACCTACCTGTAGACCAGCATTTGGGAACCACACGTCATAAAAAAAAAATAATTGACTTCTTTCCTTGAAAACAGGGGTGGAATCTTTATTTCCATATCTTCAGGATATAAAACAGATTCTAGGAACTCATTAAATATTCATGAAACAGTATTTCAGTTTTGCAATAGCATTTTGTTTTAATATTTCTTGTGCTTCAGTTTAAAAATCTCTCTTAAGTTACAGTACAGTCCAGTCCATTATAAAGATTAAAATTCAAAACACCTCTTAAATTTTCTTAGGGATACCAGTTCATTCTCTAAACGTAGTTATCTCTAGACATCAGGAACAACTTAACAACAGATTTCTTATTCAGAAAGGTAAGACAGTGAGTATTATTTCAATAAAAATTAGAACTGTAATTGTTATCTAGATCAAGTTGGCAAATAGCCATTTATATTTGTTTTTCCCTAGTCAACACTAATTATGGTGGAGCTATTTTCAGAGAAAACATCTCTTCCTATTTCCTTCTCCTAGATATTAGCTTTTCCTGATAATAATGGTAAGTGAATGACAGACAAACAGCTTATTACATTTTAATTTACCTTATGTAGATGTCTTATTTAGATTACTGAAAAATTCCATAAAACTATGAGGTGTATTTATTTATTTTCCACCACTTACGAATCCCAGGCTTTCCACCGCATAAAGAAAGCCTTAGTTTGGGTATATTGATATATAAGGCAAGGCCAGGAATGATGAACACTCTAACAATAATACATTTACTTTCTACAACCTAGAAGAACCAACTTACCTCATTTATATGAGAAGCATGCAAGAAGAGCATAGAAATTGTCTATGTTAGTATACACTTAAGGAAAATGATAGTAAAGATGGGTATCCCAAGGCAAATTTAAAAACTTAGAAGATAGGCATTATAAGTGAAAGATTAAATTGGATCATAACCTTTTATAATATTGGAATACACATAATAGTAAACATGCATATAAAACCAAGAGACTATAGTGGCAGAGGCAGCAGAAGTTTTCAATCATTGTGAAACCATACATAAAAACAGAGCAAATAGAAAAAGCCAAATTTTCATGGACAACGTTTATAACAAAACTATATGACAAGGTTGCTCTATAGGCTCCAAAAGAAGTTGGTAGAAATAAACCACCAAAAACACAAGACCTGCATGGTATACATGTGAGAGAAGAAGGAAGTGTCAGGACAACATCTGATGGACCTGAAAGCAGGAGAGCCCCAAAATAGTCAACAAATATTCACTGGAAAGTGTGGAGGATAATTTATAGCACTTGAAATAGGGAGGAGTTTTGCTCTTTTAAATACCAGATGAGTACATGACATCTACAGTAAAAAGGTCTGAAGGGGCCTGATACAGTGGCTCCTGTAATCCTGGCACTTTGGGAGGCTGAGAGAGGAGAATTGTTTGAGACCAGGAGTTTGAGATCAACGTAGGCAATGTAGTGAAACCTCATCTCTAGAAAATTATTTTTAAAATTAGAAGGGTGTGGTGGCATGCACCTGTAGTTCCAGCTATCCAGAAAGCTGAGGCAGGGGAATCACTTGAGCCCAGGAAGTTGGGGCTGCAGTG